AACAAACATGTAAGCGTCGTGTTACAACGTATAACATAAGCACTACTAATTTATCTGTGTTTTCACGCGCCGCCCAAATTTGGTGGGGTAGAAACACCGAGTCATTGGAAAGAGTGACGACTGATACACGTAGATCCTGGCTACATTCTTTTGATAGGCAACCTATTGAAGCCAGTAATGTACATATCGATTTATCAAAACGAAATTTCGTCCATTAAGTAAGATATTTTTCGTAATCCCCTTAGTGGGCTTCGATTTGGATAAGTGCAGTAAAAGGTGACAATGGTTATCGAGGTCAATCGCCGAACAGCACGCGTTGGGCTATTTGAAGTCATAAATACTGAGGACCAAGTTGCTTATTTCCATTCAGCAGTACGTTTGCTCTAAAACTCAAAACAGTGGAGGAATTCGTCGTCACACCTTCGAAAAGGTTGAGCTGTTAACGAGTACGTACAAATGTTGAACGGAGCAACAGTTTCAAAAAACTTGTTGGAGCTACATGGTGCTTTTTGGTCGAGTAGCTTAACTTTCAACTGAGATTTCGTCCCGTTAGTGAAGATAATCTGTGTTAAAAAGCCGAGAAGTATTGTACAGCCGTTTCATTCTTATTGCGAATCACGAGCAGTGCCCACATCACGAGACTCAGAGTTTCAAGCTCACGACATCCTGGCTAGTAGTTTGAACAATTAAACGCTCGGTCACCATTAGCTGATTAGCAGTGTGATTTACCCATCACACCATCACCATCCTTGACTTCCATCGGGAATCATATATTTGCACCAAACAGATTTGTAAATAAAATTTTAGCGTGTATGACGGCAAGGTACGTCCATGAGATCTTCGTCCGCGTTTCACAATTTTTTAAGGTTTCAGGAACCTTTTACGTCCCTTGACTTCCTGAAATGTCTCCCAGAAAGGAGTGGAGAATGGTGATTTTTAACGCAGTGATACAGGTAACTGCTTAAAAACTTGGGTGTAAAATCGCATAAAATCGTACCATACATTCCACTAATAAAGTTCAGAAAGCATCCTATCGGTTTTGACGAGACAAATTACAGGAAATTCAGCTAACAAATTTCAAATTGCTATGTCTGATTGTAGTCGCACGCATAATATTCTCCCGTCTGCAAAGTGCTTATGAGAAAACCTTTCTGGGTTACTGATTAAACTCGTGACCTGACTCGATCTAAGCTAACCATGTCTGTTGTAATTTAAGCCAGGAAGAGACTTCCTTATGCATATTGCACTTAAGTGGGGGTGCAAGTAGATGCACAAGGGCTAGTAATTAACTTGGGGTTGTTGACAAAGATCATGAGCATGGAATGTTAGATAGTTCTGTCTGAGTGGAGAAATATCGGGATATTCTCGTCACAATAGCGGCTGACGACAAAAATGTCCACAGCAGAAAGCATAGCCTGAGGGTGACTTTTGACGTCTGAGAGCCGGTGCACAAGAACATTCGGGCATCCGAGTGTTTCCGGCTGGAAGGCACTACTACCGATCAGAGAAATGAATGGGGAGAACTGTAGCTATCACTGAGTGTATTAGGTAAACTGTGGGCAGGTAGAAAATAAGCTGCCCATTTTATGACACGTAGGCGTGAAGATGGAAGTGGTATACCTGAGAAATAAGGTTCAGGCCTCGGCTGAGTGAATGGTTCCCCCTTAATTGAACAAAGGAGGCAACGAGGGAGCAGTACAAAGTGGAGTTGAACACGAGAGTTCTCTATAAAATCGAGAACTATTGAATTAATACGGTTTCCTTACAGGAGAATGGTTTTATGTGGTTCGGTCAGACTGCATCAAAGTGAGTGATACGCAGTAAGGCAGTGAAATATCACTCCTGGGTGGTGAGACAATCGGCGTCAGGAAATACATCCACACAGTTGGGAAGACTTCCAGCTGGGCTGTCGATACGCAGAGTAACAAAAGCCTATCATGAAAACGTTTTTCTTACCCATTTCAGAAATTCAGGTTGTAGGTTCCTAGCAGAAGCAGCGTGAGGGTACCATAATTCTCAAACTGCATAGGCAAGAAATACAGGAGCGAAGAAAAACATCAGAAATTAGGCTGCTTGAGCAGTTTGAAGAGCACCCGTAGAGCGCATCTGCAGATGTGGAGCTAAAACTGCCCCTCCGAGAACGCAAATAATATGAGGATGAGGCAGAGAGCATTGCCATTCATAGTTCGCCTGCTTGAAGTGGCAGGAGGATTGGTCAAGTAGCCAGACAAATGAAGAGAGACAAGTCTATGTAGAAAGAGTTAGCTGTTCACGTTGGCAAACATTAAAGACGAGTAAAAAAAGATGTTTAAATGTATGGGCCCCTCTGACTAGAGTTGATGCAACAAGGCGAGAAAGGGAGGCAATGGAAACAATCTTCTTAGAAGTAGAATGGAGGAAGTTATCACGACGTAATAACTTCCCCATGATTTTCATAAGGGTTTGAAAGAGGCTTTACGAATAGGCCCAACGCAAGCGGATTCTCCAAGCCCCAGCTTTGCATATAGGATGCATTATTAGTCACTTCAATAACCTCGATCACGGGCACAGTACTTAAGCACATACGGCTATATGCCATCAAGGCCGGATGGTATTGTCAGTTGACGTAGTCCTGAGACATGAAAACATGTTTTTGCAAAGAAAGCTGGAGACAAGGAAGTGTGTCCATAAAACCAAGCTCAAACTGTGTTTGAGAAATCCAGATCTGGGTAGCATTCGTACCCAGGTGTTCACCATAAACGATGTTACCATACATCGTCTGATTAGTTCAGACAAAAACCAACTTCCATTTCTCTATTTCCTTTTGTATCCGTGACTTGGGTTGATTCACCACAGTAAGCCTCCTTTATTCGTAAACTTGCTCATTATGTTTTCAAAATTGCTTCATATAACGAGTAAAGATAACTCATCCAGGGGACAAAAACAGGTACATAAATTACGGTAAAATATTAAAACTGAAATGATAAAATGTCCTGCGTAGAAGATATGCCTAGTTGAAGGCAGCTGAATTATTATGGATACTTTCAACAGCGTTAAGCTATCTGGGGTCGGTTCACCGTTTACAAATACTGAAGGAGAATGCGTTCACTGAATGGAAGATGTCTTCCGACGGACACTTCCTGGTGAAAGGATAATATGACCATCAACCGGTAGGCGAATTTTGCACTCCAGCTGACATGAGTTTGTGGTTGACTAGCCTCAAATATACAACCATTTCTCCAGAGTTACTTGTGAAGTCGATTAAAAGTCTCGAAAGCCGGCCTCCAGTTTGCTCCACTCGGAGCTCATCAGGAAGGCCTAATTCCTCAACCTCCACTAACTGTATTTTCTACTCGAATAGAAACTTCATCTGTGCAGCGATAAATACTCATTTTCAAATTAATTAGTTGTTGGTTATTATTGACGTAGACTTTGATATCTTCCATATTGTTTCAAATGAAACATGAGACGGTCTTTGTCCAGCACAACCATTTGGTGAATATTGCAGAAGGGCGATTCAGAGAAACATCAGCTGTTTTCAGTGAACACCAAATCAAGTTTCAAATGTGTGCTGACCGCAACATTCTTACATTTTAGTGATTAGTTGGGAAATAATGCTGACGGATATTTAGGAGTTAGACCCGCCCGTTAATTTTAAAAAAGGAAGAACCGGTGGCGCGTAGTAACGAGTGATAAAAAGATGCACTTAAATGCCCTGAATATCGTCCTGACTAAAGCGTTCGGTCGAATATTACTACATCCATTGCTGTCAACGGCCTGTGGTTAAATAGTGTATAATGTTTTGTAAAGGAATCATGCACCCGGAAGACAAAACCACGCACAGTGGACATACGATTCGGCGTTTAGCTACTTGTCTGGGCGTTGGTGAATCTACTTCCAGCCCACTAGGTCAGTTTAGTGAATCCAGAAAAATGGAAGCTCCGGTTTCAAGGAAAGTTTCAAGGCTATGTCAAAGATCGAACTGCGAACGTGATACTTCTCGTTGAACGTTAAAGCCTACCTCGCCACTTGGGTGCACTTGAGTAGTCACGATCATGTTTACGGTCGATGATCCAGTAGCTGCCCCGGTTATATCGGCTTACTGACACACCTGTCAGAAACTCTTAGTCAGGAACCGGTACACGTGTTTGAAAGCCGGTGGAAAAATAATTCCAAAGACTTGGAGGTAGTTGCTAGATTAGTTGGTTTTGGGTCAGTCGAATCTCTCAAGCATGAAAATGTTCGCCTGTTTAAACACGACAATCCATTGTGCTTAGGAGAGTAGTGGTAACTTTCTGGTTTAATGATAGCCATCCCGTTTTAATCCCCGAGCGCTGCAGCATGCTTTACCCGTCCGTTTCAATCGGCTTACCATACGCCAGTTTATCGCCCCACCAATCAACGACCTTTGAAGCAAAATTCAACCTGAAAACTCTGAGTGTCGTTTTAAATCAGCAAATACACATCCCAACCACCAAAGAAAGTAAGTGGTACAGCTATCCAAGGGTACAGTGGACTTGGTTTATAGCAGTCAAATTGATCCAGAAGTTGGATGGCACGCGTGTGAAAACACTTACCGCATCATCTGAAGGAGAAAATTGAACCAAGCCAGAAACATCACGATGACTCCCAATCCAACGTAATGGTGATCCACATGCAGAACGAGCGTTAGAGCCGAATACGTCATGGCCAATGCATTCAAAAGAAATTCAAGATAATTGTTCCAGTCCTTGAAGTATTCTAGCCGCTATTAAAGAAAAACAAGCAATACTTTGTAATGTACTACTCATAAGGTTGCTGAAAATCCATCGACAGCCCACGACCGGTTTCGCCCTCTTTGGGGCTCATGGGGTAGGCGCATTCCCCGGGTTTCCGTCAACCTTATGTTCTACTTGAAACCAAATTGCACGAAATTAGCGAATATACCCTCATTTGCAAACTAATTTAGTTCTTTCGAGAGACTCACCTGGAACCCAGCCTGAGAACATCACAAACGAGAGATTCAGCTGGGTACCAGGTGAGTCTCTCGAAAAACCAAATTAGTTTGCAAATGAGTTTATATTCGCTAACAAGCAATACTGTTCTAGATGTTTTTCTATGGCAGTTGGGTGTGCTATTCCTAATAAGAGTCAATCAGTCATGTGCATTGATCTGAAAACATGTTCGTCAGATGTCCCATCATCAAACAAAAATTTCCCTGATCAGAACCATTTTAAGCCATCACTCTACTCCTTAATGTCACTCAAGCATTAGCACACAATAAATCACTCCATCAGTGATCCGACTATCTCTGAAAAGTGTGGTAAACGAAATTTCCTGTAACTGAACTACTCTTACACGGTATCTTCCATTCTGCATAAATGTGTCTGCAGCAACTTGTGGGTTGTCTAAAATGTCCCTTTGAGAAGTTTGAAACGTAGCTCCTTTGGACAGTTCTCACCATACTTACCATATTTATCAGATAACCACCCGAGTTACGGTGAGATTAAAGATAGGAGTTGTCACTAGTAGCAGTTTCCACATCCAACTGAGCTTTTCATCCTGTTATGGGGGACTGGCATCTGTTGCCACAGTTGCTGCATGGCGGTAGACCAACGAAACCCTCAACTACTTAGAAATTGGTAGGAAACCCGATCAGCTGCCTTAGGGAAACGCTTGCTGTGGTCTAGCTGTCCTTCTAATGTTGTTATATATATATATATAATCATGTTGTGATATGTTTAGAGTCTGAAAAGACATTATTTTGGCTGGAAAGAAAGTAGACGGATACTAGCTTGGCAACAGTGTTCGTAACCATTAGCAGCTGCCATATAACGGGTATTGGATTCCAGTGTCAACATAGTACTCCGCGTAAACAATTACTTTGGACATATTTTCGTCCCATTAAAGGAGCAACAGTCACAACAGTTAAACACACGCTTGCTGCCACATTATTTACATGGACTTGCATGCTACGGCTTTCGTAATGGCAGCGGGCAGATATGCAAAATTCCTATAGATATATATGACATAACTGTACATGTAAGGATGTGGTAAAACCATCAAAGTATTGTAACGTGGCGAGCGGGACTAGGTGAAAAGATGCCGGAATTCATGAATATAGCCATGATCTTGATCCACTGCTACCCTAAAATGCTTATACGCATCTTTCCATAATTGAGTAGGTATTCCGTGTTGCCTGCAACGTCTGGAACGCCGGTGCGCAGTGAAATTTTTTTGCTGCTTCCTCACTTCCCATCGTAAACAGTGATACTGGTGACTGCGCAGCACATACATTAAAGTAAACTGTCCGACGTTTTGTCCACCTAAGGTGGACAAGAAGAAAATGACTGATATTGAGGCACTACCAACGTGGTCAGCATGCTGTTATATGTAGTGTGCGGGTATTTGGAGGATATTTAGTAGTTTTCAACTAATATTTCATCTTTTCATTAGGGCCAGTGCATGCTGAAAAACCAAGAAGTACTGTTGGAAATCATCAGTAGTGCACATCTCTCGGGACAGAGTTCCTAATCCACAGCCTTCCAGCCGGTGGTTGAACGCAACCCTTTGGCCACGAGCGGATGATCAGCAGTGTGATTAGCTCCCAATTATACGGGATATACGTCACTCATCCTTCAGTCACAGAAACCACAGCATATGGTCACCTGTCAACTGGTTCCTCGAGTGACTCATCTTGTGAAATTATTCTTACTAGTAGCTGCTCATAGTCTAATGATTGTATGAGGAAGCTTGCTAGTTTTCGACTGGGATTTCACTTGCTGAAATGCCGAGAAGCACCGTACATTTGTTTGTAGCCGTGATTGTTGTGAATACCATTGTGTCCTTTAGCTTAGTTGTGTGTTGCATTGCTTGCATGCTTTACAGCTGACCTTGGGGATGAATTTTACTATCACATAACGTCCCCATGTTTGAGTCGCCCTTGTATGATCAAGTAGGCAGGGCCAAAATTCAGGTAACTCAACACTATCAGTCCTGTTAACTGATTCGCATATACGGCGAAATTTGGCCACAGCATATGCGTGTTTTTCATATCTAATTTGACCCGATGGTTCCCTACTAATGCATGAAATGCATTAGTAGGAGTGATCGAGGAGTGCCGTTTGTGTTCTTAATTCGAACCTTCATTTGTCTGCCTGTTGAATCAATAAAAATGCGGTCATAGCCGGGACAACTGTTCTTGTAAACACAGTTGGTCCGATCATCCATCTGAAGTGGGTCTTTCGTCCGGACTATTTGTCTCTGCGTTGTGTTATCCAATTGGAAGTTGGCGCAGATCTTGTAGCTGAAGAGTACGCATGGGCTACTTTTATAAGTGTGCTTCCTGTACGTAGTCCGCCCTGTGTCAACTGCTTCACTCGTCAGTCCTGCTGTTGGATCTGGGTTGGTTGGTCGGCTGAAGCGCATTTTCGACGAAATCTGGTAGACACCATTGGTCCTCAGTCTTAGTTTGCTTAACGTCACTTTCAGACAAAGCTACGCTACTATGGAACATATTCACTGCGTGGACCAGAGTGCGAATGATTGCTCCCGTTATACACAGTTAGTAAGCAGAGTCAAAGTATAAACGACGACTTGATTCGCTTGGTTTGTGGTGAACTGTGTCTTAAAAGCGACAATTTTACCAAGGAAATTTACAGTCAAGTAAGGCAATTGTTTTGTCTCGTTCTCTATGGTTAGAGTTACACAAGGCGTTGAGATGTGATATGAACTGATTTACACAATACTTCTCTATACTAACAAACATATCATTGATAGGTATTAGGCAATCCCTCAGGGTTTTATCGAAATTACCCAAAGCCCAAGATTCAAGCCGTGATAAGAATAGTTTGGCTAGAACAGGAGAAACGATTAAGTCCATGGCACTTCAACCGACCTGTTCGAAAATTCGGCTATTGAGAATGAATACGATATATCGTGAGCATTATTCCAGACCTTGCAGAAAGGGGAGTGCACTATCTTCCTCTAGAATATACTCTATGTACTGTAGGTTATCATCCATGATCACACCATTCTAGGGCGAAGCAACAACGAAACTGACAAAGGCTTCATCATCCCCAAGAATTATTTGCTTCACTGTGTGAACAAAACAATACCAACTGGTAATCTGATTCGACACATTAGTTTCAAGCGGCTACAGTATTGCTGCAAGACGTTTGGCCGGTCTTTAGTTATTCACATTGGTAATGTTATTCTTAGTTATCTGTTCCTTGCTAGAAGTCACCCTTGGTGATCGGAACGTCAGACAATGTCACCTAACTTATTCACCCGTGTAGTCATCAGTATTTTCACTATGAACAAACAACCCACAGTGCCTAGACTTTTTCGGCTCAGTTCGGAAATGAAGTAAGCTGTGATCCTTAGGCACTGAATTTACGCGCGAATAATATGCAGTAAGATCAGAGACATCTAGAACTGTAGTTATCAGATTACATGATGCATGGTTGACACCTCAAACTGTTCCCGATCCATGTGACTGAGAATGCTTTTTGGGGCAGATAGAAAGGGTAGCATAGAACACTATCGGTTTACATGGGTAACAGATCAGATAAGCGAATGAACAAAATATTTCGGATGAAAATATATACGAGCTATTCTGACAGGATTTCGTCGGGATACATCGGTTGGTGAGAGTTCTTACCTGAGTGACAAGTTGCCATATCTTGACCAAAAGATCAAACACTGTCAGAACCAAAATAAGCAGGGCGGTGGCGGAGAATATGTAGCGTCTTGTTTGCGTTTTATAGAACTGAAAGTCAGATGTAAGTGAGGAGCAGAGAAAATGGAGGCTTGTTGTATAAAGGGTTGTTAAAATTCTAAATATTTATAGTACCATAACCATACTTGAAGATGGTAAGTGAACAAAAAATTACACCCCAAGCAACTGTGTAGCGTCCCAGTTGGTAATGTTTGCCACAAACAGCGCACATACAAAACCGGTAACCACGTAGAATGTCTTCCTTCATAAGTGGAGTATTGGACTGTACGATTACGCGTTTCAAAGAGTGTGTTGGTTCATTTGAGCCGGCCCCATGAACTTTTGAAGTTTGACTTTGACTTGTGCCAAGCCTCATACCTCACCCTAATCCAGCAATCTTAATGGTACACCATCTGCGGAAGTTTGGATAATATATGTGTATGCTTCGCTTCGTGCAACGGAACTTTGTAGCACTATTGGTGAACTGCACGAACAAACGCCAAAACCGAAATTACTTTTCGACCTACTGGCGCTTCGTTATGTTGCCAGTCCATTTAGTAGAAATGAGTGGAGCAGTTAAAGTAAGGATTCTCACCGTTTTCGTTATTTTGAAGCAGAGATCCTAGATTTGATTGAAACCACTGATGAAATTGCCGAATCGATATTGTTTGACCATGGTAAGTGTACTCTGAAAGATGATTGTGATGAGTGTAGTCAACTGGATCTCTGAAGCAAGGGGATTTTAGTAACTTGCTGTGGTAAACATGCAAGAAGTTGAAGGTTTAGCCTGCAATGGGTGATGAATCATTCCAATAACTGGAGCACCAGCTTGAAGTTGGTGGACAACCAACCAGGAAGTCGAACACTTCGGAATATTGTGTTCGGCGAACGTTGAATTGAGCGCATCATCACTTCGAGTATACGTAAAAAACTGGGGATATTTATCAAACTTAGGATAGCATCACTGGCCTTTTCACCTTGCGTTCACAATCTTCTTTCCCTCGGAAACTTAGAATACATTCGAGTCTACCATTTGTCACACCGTCAAT